TAGTAGTGTCTGTACACCGATGTTCGTTTTCTACTCGTCCCCCACATGAGCCCAGAGCACAGGCGCCGCCACGAAGGGCGGTCACGCGGTGCTCTCTACGGGCCATAGGGGCATCGCGGCAGGACCGAATAAGCGTTGTCACACCGCCTCCCGTGCGAGGTGAGGCCCGGCAAGGTCCGAGCCCGAGTTTTCGGAACTGGGCGCCCGATTTTTTTGAGCGAGCGGCGTGGCGCTTCGACTGCCGTGGAGGCGGGCTGCTATCTTTCCGGTGCCGATCCTACCCGCCATGTCGGCCATCGTCACCGTCACCATGCCCGTCGTCATCGTCAGCATCGTCATCGTCATCCCCGCTGCCGTCGTCGTCATTTGTTCGCCATCGTCGGCATCGCCATGCCATTTGTAATCGCCGCCTTCGCTGTCTACGTCACGCATGGGACTACAATGTCGATCGACCATGTCCGCTGGCTGAAACAGCACATGGTTAGGAGCAGGAGGATATTGAGCAACATGAGGAACATCAAGAGAAAGCGGGAGAGTAGGGAAAAGAGTCGGAGAGGTGAGAAGAGGTGAAGGAGTTATGTACGAAGGATGAAAAGCAGGTGGAGGAGAAGGAGGGCGAGGATAAGGAAGGAGGATGCGGAGTGGCAAGACGAACACGTTGTCCTTGCTGGTGTCAGTGAGGTTTTGGGTATGCTTCAGGTGTGGGCAATCGCCGCTTCATGTCGCAAGGTCGTAGGTCGATGACGGCTTCGGGGGGTGTCAGAGGGATCGTGCTCAAGAGACCAGCGTGGCGACCAGCAGTGACGACCGCCAGGACGTATCTCCAGGTCCGCCTGCGGCATAGCCGCCACCGTGCCAGCAAGGCGCCTGGCGTGGCGACCCCCTGGAGCACCGCGGGAAGGCCGTCACGTGTGGCACCTCTCGTCCCCGCTTGGGGCCGTCGGTGGGTCAGGAGGGAAGAAAACACACAGACACAATGGATCGTCGATCCCCCAGAAAATGTGGGAAAGTATGGGGAGTGGAAGGGGAGGACCAGAACCCCGAACATATGGGGATTTTTTTTTTTTTGTTGTGTGTGTATTTCTTTGTGTGTCCCAGGGCCCCTTCAGTGGGGCCGTCCTGGAGCACCCTTCGGGCCCTCTGGAGAGGGGCCCTCCTCGGCCGTCTTTGGGCCTCCCCCCCTCGGGAGGCCCTCTTGGAGCCGGCGTGGGGCTCTCTCTCTTGGGGGCCATTGCTCCGCGAGGGCACGGCGAGGGAGAAAGCGCGGGAAGGGCCGACGGAGGACGTGAGAGGCGCGAAAATCGAGGCGGAGGACGAGGGAGAAAGCACGGAGGACGAGGGAGAAAGCACGGACGGGCCGACGGAGGACGAGGGAGAAAGCACGGACGGGCCGACGGGCCGACGGAGGACGAGGGAGAAAGCGCGGACGGGCCGACGGAGGACGTGGGAGGCGCGAAAATCGAGGCGGAGGTTTCTCATAGTTCTCGGCCTCCCGGGGCCCTCGCCGGGCCTCGGGGCCGTCAAAAAACGGCTCGGGATGGAGAGCCGGTCCCGGGGAAGCGGTCGGGAGGTCGGGGGCCCGCGTCTCGAAAAAATCGAGACGTCGGATGTTTGGGGAGGAAGAGCATGGAACACATGGAAACACATGCTTGTGGCCTCTGGCGGTCCCTGCGTGAACCCGATGCCCGATCAGCTCAGCTTCGCTCACCGCTGCACGGATCGGCCTGCCCAACGGTAGCGAGTTCGCCAGGCTCTGCGGGCATGCGCTGCCAGGGACTACGAGGAAGTTGAGCACGCACGTCAGCCCTGCTCCAGCTGATAAGGTCGATTGAGCAGTAATCATATTGTCTCTGCTCCACCAGTAGTAGCGTGAGCGCGGTCAGCAGAGCGTTGGCTTTTGTTCCATGAAGGGGCGGTCAGCAGAGCCCTTTCTGTTGCAGGCAAGTGTTGAGGGCGTGGTTAGTAGAACACCCCTTCTGTTTCGGGCGCGTTAGTAGAGTACCCACGCAGCAGCCGCATGAGTTCACGCCGTGGGTTCCTGTGCGGTTTGCGCATGTGGACCCAAGAGGGCACGACGGACCGGCTTGAACACCAGGCTCGAATGGCACCTGCTCTGCCCTTTACACCCCTTCTCTTGCCTGGGCCCGACGCGTGTTTGGCCGAAACTTGCAGCGCCCCGTGCCCGCCTTATAAGAGCCTGACTCGCTCCTCATTTCCGCCTTTTGGAAGATCCTATCTTTTCTACCTCGCCGCTTACATCCCGTTTTCCTGTCCTTCCCCCGCCCCCCTTTCGCCCTCCCCTCCCCCCCTCCATCCCCTTCCCTTCCTCGCCCCCCCTCCCCCCGCCCCCACCTCTCTCCCTCGCCGGTCGCGGGGATGCCGCCCCCGCCGTCCCCCCGCAGGTCCCCGAAGAGCGCCCGCAGCGAACGCCCAGCGAAGCCCCCACGCATAGCTGCGCACGCTGGTGCGTGTTCACCTCACGGCCGGCTCGGGGTGCAAGGGCGAGGTCGGCTCGGGGCGCGGTGGTTCCATCCTGCCGCCTCGTCGAGCGGGGCCTGGAGCGGCCTCTCTCCTTTTGTCTCCTTCGCACACCGTGCTCACCCAACACGTAGCTCCAAGAGCTCTCCGTCGTCCTCTTCGTTTTCCTCCTCCCCCTCGTCCTCCTCCTCCTCTCCTCCCTCCCTCCTCCCCTCCCCTCCTCCTCCTCCTCCTCCCTCTCCTCCCCCTCCTCCTCTCCTCCTCCTCCTCCTCCTCCTCCTCTCCTCCTCCTCCTCCTCCTTCCTCCCCCCTCACCTCCTCCTCCTCGCCCTCCTCCTCGCCATCCCCCTCCTCCTCGCCCTCCTCCTCGCCATCGTCGCCGTCCCCGCCTCCACCCCGCCCTCCGCCCCGCAGCGGCCCGCGGCTCTCCCGGCTGCCTCCCGCGGGCCCGCCGCCGCGCGGGCCGCCGGCGCGCGCGGCCGCCGATGCGGGCGGCACTGCGCGCGTGAGCGCCCCCGCGCTGCGCAGGGGCCGCGCTGTCTCCGCCCTTTCGAGGGAGGGGCGAAAGGGAGCGGTAGTCGACGTGGACGTCGACGACGTCGTCGTCGTCGTCGTCGTCGTCGTAGTCGTCGTCGTCGTCGTCGTCGGCGTCGGCGTCGGCGTCGGCGTCGGCGTCGGCGTCGGCGTCGGCGTCGGCGTCGGCGTCGGCGTCGGCGTCGGCGTCGGCGTCGGCGTCGGCGTCGTCGTCGTCGTCGTCGTCGTCGTCGTCGTCGTCGTCGTCCCCGCGGGTGCGAAGGGCCTCCAGCCGCCCCCGCGTCACGGTGACGAACATACGGGGGGGAGGGGGGGCGAGGGTCGCCACGGGGGGAAACAGGTCCCGAGGAGCCCTTTCGGGCCCCAAGTGGGGCTTTCAGGGCTCGAAAAGGACACCTTTCTCACCCCCCCCACCCGATTATCGCCCCCCCATAGATTCGCGCCCCACCCCCACAGATTCGCGCCTCATAGATTCTCGCCCCACCCCCATAGATTCGCGTCCCATAGATTCGTTCCCCACCCCCATAGATTCGCGCCCCATCAATTCGCGCATCCCCATAGACTCTCCGCCACCCCACCGTTCGCCCCTCCCTGATCCACGCACCCTCGAGGGGCACTTGGCGGATCGAGGTCATGGAGGATGCGCGCGCCCTGCTCAACAGCCTCATGGGCGCCGACCGCAACGCCAAGGCCCCCGCCGCTGTCGCTGCCGCCACCTCTGCGTCCGTTCTGCTGCCGCCCACGACGGGGAGGAGGCAGAGGAGGAGGGAGGAGCAGGAGGAGGGGGAGGAGGAGGAGGAGGAGGAGGAGGAGGAGGAGGACGAGGAGGAGGAGGAGGGAGGAGGAGGAGGAGGAGGAGGAGGAGGAGGAGGAGGGAGCCCTTCTGGCACAGGTTGCCCTGTGTCACGGGCTTTCCAGGCGCTGCCGCCCCGCCCCACCCCCGCCCTCTTCCGCGATGGTCGTCGCTGCCCGGCTGGATTTCGTCCTTGGCATAGTCGAGACCGGTGCTCAGGTGATGTTCTCCTACCTCCCCAATGCGGACTCCGGCAAGTTGAAGGTAAAGATTCTCATCCGCGAGACCGGGCAGCCCCCATGCGTGTTGTTCAAGACCCACGGTGTTGAGCAAGTGCAGTTCTTGCGCCAATTCGTTTCTTCATTTTCTGTGGTCGATCGTGGACACAAGCACACAGACGGGACCATGGAAATTTGCATGTGGCTCACCCCGCAGAAGTCAGTACTGCTACGACATGACGCTCCAGAGTTCACACCATCGTGCGAAGGTGGGAGCCCCTTTCCGTCGTGGGCTGCCTCTTCATGGCCGCGTGCGGCGTGGCACGCCTCTCCCGAGCAGGGCTCCTTCTCCAAGGTCCAGCTCGTGTTCGTCCGCTCCAGAGGCGGAGGACATGCCTTCGGCAGCTGCGGAGGCGGGAGCCTCCTCGACAGCGCACAGTTGGGAAAGAATGATCAAGGCCGCCAAATGGGTCGAGCACCAGGAGCTGATGCTAGCCCGAGCCGTGGCCATGTTTCAGTATGAGTGCGCCCAGATAGCTGAGAAGGAGGACGTGACCCAGGCGACGGTCTCCTTTGAGGTGCTGTCCAGGGCGTTCGAGGATTTCCCGAAGAAAGTGCTGAAGGACTCCTGCTATTTTGTCGAGTCCTTTGGCAAGGACGTTCCGGAGGAAAACTGGATCTATGCAGTTCGCGGGTTGGAGGCCATATGGACCCCTGGAGAGCAGATTCCATACCAGGAGGTATTGCTTAGTATGTTCTTGCCATTCGTAGCCAAGATCCAGATGCAAGGGTACAGTAGTTGCAAGCACACCGCAGGCACTTGGAAAGTGACAGTAACTTGGTAGCCTGGAGTGCCGAGCGTCAGCCTCAATTGTGAGGGCCGCCGGATAGCAGCTGTCCAGTCGGCGCGTTGCGGTTGGTTTCGGCGCTGGTCGCTTGCTGGACGTGGCTCGTTGTTCTGGCTCCTGGCCTGCGGCCTGGCCCTTGGGGGCCTCTTGTCCTGGGGTGTCGTGGTGGTCCAGTGCCAGTGCTCCCCCCTTGCGGCCTCCCTTTCTCCTTGTCTTCTTTCTTCCACCCTTGCGTCTCCCCTCTTGGGGGGGGTGCTATGGCGCTGGGCCCTTGCTCTTTTGGTTTCGGGGGCTCCGGGGACCCTCGTCGCCACGTCGCCTTCCTGCTTTGTCTCTCATCCGCATCCGTATGGGACCCAGACTCTGTCCCTTAGAGCCGAGCGAGCGAGCGAGCGAACGAGCGAGGAGGGAGGAGGAGGAGGAGGAGG